AGTACAAGACTGATCAAACCCTCTCACTAGATCGACACTAGAGTCTACTACAACAATCAAGCGATTGCTTATCCGGCTCAAGTACGATGTTCTCTCAACCTTGTACCCCTAGAACATCAAGCATTCCTTGGGAAGTTGGATCTTCACATCATACCAAATTCTTATGAAGAAGCCAAAGATAAAGAGGAATGGATTCACGCAATAGGAGATGAGAAAGACGCCATGGAACGCAACCATACCTGGGATGAAGCCGATCTCCCACCAGGCAAGAAGGCTGTGAGCTCAAAATGGGTCTTCACTATCAAATATAAGAGTAATGGAGACATCGAAAGGCACAAAGCCCGCCTGGTCGCTCGGGGATTCACTCAAACCTATGGCGCCGACTTCACTGATACCTTTGCACCTGTTGCCAACCTGAAAACAGTGAGGGTTGTGCTCTCTTTGGCTACTAACTTATCGTGGGAATTGTGGCAAATGGATGTGAAGAATGCCTTCCTTCAGGGGGAGCTTGAAGAAGAGGTGTACATGAAACCTCCACCCGGACTGGAAGATTCGATCTCACCCGGCAAAGTCTTGAGACTTCGAAAGGCTATCTATGGTCTCAAGCAATCTCCTCGGGCCTGGTATCATAAATTAAGCCACACCCTCCGAGATCATGGTTTCAGGAAATCAGAATCTAACCATACCTTGTTTACACTTCAGGGCGTTCAAGGTATTGTTGTTGTCCTTGTCTATGTAGATGATATTATCATCTCAGGCAATGACACCACAGGTATCCAATCTACTAAAGATTTTCTTAAATCCGTTTTTGATATTAAGGACCTTGGAGAACTAAAATACTTTCTAGGCATAGAAGTGTGCCGACTTAAGGATGGCCTCTTTCTATCTCAAAAAAAGTATATTCTTGATCTCTTGAGTGATACAGGTAGTGTGAATGCTAAGCCGGTAAAGACACCTCTTGAAGACGGTTACAAGGTCGTTCGAAAGGGGGAGAAATCAGAAGAGCCGTTTGAAGACATATATCTATACCGCAAGATTGTGGGTAAGCTGATCTACCTAACTCTCACCCGACCTGACCTATGTTTTGCTGTGAATCAGGTGAGTCAACATATGCAAAAACCAAGTGTCTATCATTGGAGCATGGTGGAAAGGATCCTTAGATACCTCAAAGGCTCATCGGGACATGGCATTTGGATGGGAAAGAATGAAAACACCGAGATCGTCGAATATTGTGATGCGGACTGGGCTGGAGATAGGAATGACAGAAAATCCACCACGGGGTATTGCACCTTCATTGGGGGAAATTTGGTGACCTGGAAAACTAAGAAGCAAAAGGTGGTCTCTGATTCAAGCGCGGAGTCAGAATACCGAGCTATGAAGAAGTTGGCCAATGAGCTCACTTGGCTTAAGGCCGTGCTCAAAGACCTCAACATAGACACCCCTGGACCAATGACCTTTCACTGTGATAATCAGGCAGCCATCCACATCGCAAACAACTCAGTGTTTCATGAGAGGACCAAACACATTGAGATGATTGCCACAGGTCCGCAAAGATTGAAGAAGGAACTATACTTCCCATGCTTTCGACTATAGAAGTGAAGACCAGCTAGCTGACATCTTCACCAAAGCAGCGAGTCCTCAAAGTCTGTGATCATATATACAGCAAGTTGGGGCTTGTTGACATCACTCAAGCTTAATCTCACTCTCCTCCAACCTACAAGCGTTATACTCTTTTTCCTCGGCATAGTTTTTATCCCATGAGGTTTTTCTATGTCAAGGTTTTAACGAAGTAATGTCTTATGGGTCTCCAAGCTTAGCCTATATTCTATATGGCTTAGCTTGAGGGGGAGTATTGAGATGACCAATAAAGATGCAGACTGTGTGAACCTAGGTGCGACCTCAATATCAGCACCGAGGTGAGCATACGTTTATGCACAGAATAAGCAGGCCGAGGTAACCAGATCGTCAATGGAGCCGAGGTAGAATTAATGAGCACGGTAGCAAGACCGACGTGGATAATGAACGAGGTCGGGATGCCATTCAGCCTAACCCGGTGTAGAAGGATATGCTTATGTCTAAGAAGGAGACGTGAGAAGACAAAAAGGAGATAGTGAAAGAGCCGTTAGAGTCTGACGTATAAGACCGTTTGGTCAATACAATGACATGTGACCTTAGCGTTATTCAAGGCTAAGGTCATGTCACTCTCAGCATTTAATGATCTCTGTTAGTGTCCATATTGTCTTGGAACTGACATAGACATGTCACTTTCTATTTTTGGAGTCTCATTGTCTATCTATATATATAGACATAGATGTAACCTTGTAATACACATAAATGAAATACTCTTTCCTCTCTCTTGCTTCTCCATCTCTTCTGCCACTTCTCTCTATATATTTTTCTCTCAATTCTAACACTTCTGAGTGGTTGGATTACAAGTATCCAATGAATATTTGCTGCTTTTTTTTTTTTTAATCTTCTTTGAATTTTTGAAAATCTAGTGAACATCCTACATTTTATATAAGTTCTGTGTTTGTAACCTACTAAATCTGTACTATTATTATGTTTATTAGTCTCTATGTCCATCCAATTCGCAAAAGAAAATTAGTATAAGTTCATGATGATCCACAACTTGATGATTACTACATAGATGACGATAATTTGCTGCATTTCCACCAGAATCTTTTCCATATCGAAACTCTGTAAAATAATGTAGCATAACTCTTTATTCAATAAATGTTTTCACGTAGCATCACAAGGTAATATCTTACTCATACTCTTTCAATATGGTCAGAACTTTTTAAATTCACCGGTATAACAACCATATGGACATAAATATTTCAAAACCATCTCTAAACTCTTTTTTTGACCATTTTCTTCGAATTAATCTTTATACGTATACATCTACTTTTTGTAATTCATATACACATAGATATATTCACTCTAGAATATTGTTTGTGTTTTTAGAAAAGATTTGCGATTTTATATAAAAAAAACAAATCAACTCTGAAAAGATGGGTATTTATAAACAAAATATTAACATAAGATACCAAGAAGTTTGTGATGAAATTTCTGATAATATTGCACCAATCCGATTTTTTGATGAATTAACTTTGATTTACCCACACTTTTACTAGGAATTTATTCGGCATTATATTATGGTATACAAAAAAAATGTCATCATTTTGTCTGTAATTTCCTCATTAGTTTGTATTGAAACACTTTTTTTTTGTTTTTTAATTGAATGTAAAATTTTATTCAATAAAAAACCTTTTTACATCATAGTGCAGCAGAGTTTGAAATTTAGCAAATCAAGTTTGAAATGATCTAATCTCTAGTGTCAAACCAAAACATAAGACTGTCCTCATAGTCTTGGTCTCCCATCAGTCTGGTCGAGCTAAGCCTGTTTCGCACAGTTCTATCGATGAGCTTTATTAACTTTTGGGGCGGAGAGGGCTCTTCCCCATGCCAGCGACCATTGCGTTCTCTCTAAAGGGCGTGGATTGTAGCTTGGAGAGCATATTTGAGAATGAATCGGTAGACGTTTGTCTGAGTACGATCCTGTATGAGCTGCATCAAGTGCTCCCAAGTTGTTGTGAATCTGTGCTTGAGGATGCCTTTGGCGAGCTTCATCCATACTTGAGAAGAGTATGTGCAAGTGAAGAACAAATGGTGTGTCGTCTCTAGAGGATGTTGACAGAAAACGCAAGTGAGAACGATATTAGTATTCTACTTCACCATTCTGTCTCCAGTCGCCAATCTGTTCTACATCACGATCTAGTGAACTGAATTTTGGTGTGGCGTACTTAAACCAAACCGCGTCGGCCCAAGAACACTGCAGTGGCGGTTCCCGAATGAGCATCCAGGTAGCTTTTGATGAGAATTTCGGCTTGTAAGTGTCCACGTTACACTTCCATTTAACAATATTAGCTTCCTCAAAGTTTGCAGATTCTTTCAACCGTCTGATTTCAAATATGTAACACTTTTTCGATAAACACACGGCAACTACTATCAAATTATCAACGATTTTCATCGGTAATTTGTCGTAATTACACCTTATCTTACATGGAATTTACGTCAAAATAATTTGATGTTAATTTACGATAAAATTGCATCAAAATAACTTTCCTCATATAATTGTCGTAAGTCATCACAACATAGTGACAACAATATTTTGACGCAAAAATTCGATGCTAATCTACTGTAGTGATTAGTTTTTTCTTTTACAACAGTGGAATGATTATCTAGTAATTAAAAAGGAATAGCTTACAAATGAGAGAGTTTTTGAGGCAATGTGTTAATCTTCGCTCTTCTTTAGAGATTACTGAAGAAGGTTTACAAGAAATGTTACATTGCACATAACTAAAAAAGTTAATAATGTAAAGACTCATCGTCATCGACTCTTTGGTTTGTGCGTTTTTGTAAACAGGCGTGGAGGCTCCTCTACCGGCAATATTCCAACGTTTTTGTAGTTTTTACGTGTGGACCAGTTTAATAGCCCCAAGAGATGAAATTACTGCCATTTCAAGAACTTGAAGTAAGGTTCAAATCTTTTAAATAATGTGAAAAGGCTATAGGAAACAAGTTTATAGTTTCCTATAATTGTTTCAGAGTCTTAGACTTTAAGGGAGCGTACAACACATTGTTTTCAAAGTCTTTGTGTCTGTAATAAATAAGACGGATCTTCACTTCGTCTTCTTTTCTTTTTTTTTTTTTTTTTTGGGTTTTGGCGTGTGAAATGAATGCTTACAGATTAAGTAGTACAGTGAAAGATTTATATGAGGAAGAGAAAATTTGTAAATAAATATTGCGGAAACCCAATAATGTCTTTAGTCTTACGTGCATTAATCATTTTTGTACTCTTTTTCAAACTTAAATAACCACCACTTATTCATATATATGGTTGTATTTTTGTGAAAATTTCCTTAAGTCTTGAGGTAAAGAACAACGAAACCTTCATTCATATATCTCATTTCATTTAAAACTTGAAAAATACAGTAACATCCTCTAACAATAAAATATCATTCATCAAAAATAAACAAGGAAATCTTGTTGATTAAATTAAGAATACAATAATAACTTTAACGAATCCATCAACATCACAAATGGATAACGCCGTTAATGACAAAACCAGCATTGTTCTACTTAACTTTAGGTTTGTCCTCTAACGTGACCAACGATCTGATAATGCCTGGAGGAATACTATCACCAAGAGCCTTAAGTTCCGATAAGCAAAGAGTTTTTTCCTTCATTAAGCTCTGCAATTTCGTTGCTTCAAACTCCATTTTCTTTCCATCTACAACAGTAATAAAGTATACCCTTTTCCATGAGACTAGTACACTAAACCTTTGACAAAGAAAGTAGCAAAACCCATATAGAAGACAAAACCTTTCTCTAGCATTGTATGCACAACATGAAACGGAACTGCAGCGAAAAGATCAGCTCCTGGGAGAATCATCCATGTGGGTTCACTAGAGCCATGTGATCCACATGTCGAGCAAACTTCTTTGACCACAGGTTGTTCTGTTGAGCTCTCACGGACATCTTTCATCATAGAATCAAAAGGAGAAGGAACACTAGTCTTTGTTGTCTGAGCTTTCTTCCTAAGTGCTGTAAGAGCCTCTCTGTTAGTATTCCTCTCCCTGTCATTCTCCACCATCTATAATACAAACTCCACTTGGTTAAAACACAGTTGATTTCTCGCAAGACAAATTTCAGAACTACCAGGATTGTTTATTGTGCTACTCAGAAATCAATATGAAATACGAAGCAATGAATATATACCGAACATATTTCAGAGTACCTGATATTTAGCTAGTAGAACCTCATCAGCTTCAGCTTCAATTTTTTCCAATAGCTCAACATACTTCTTTGGATCCAGCTCCATCTTGGTCTACCCGATTCCGACAATCAACAAGGCTAGGAACAGCTAAAACAACATACAATTTAATGTCATAACGCCCTCGCAAAACAACTGTTGATCAAATAAAGCATTCTGGTTTGAAGAGGAACAAAGGAAAATATTTTTGATAAGGAGTATAGTCCATCTTCATAATCTTGATAATCTCGATATTAATCTGTAAGAAACGAGAACCTATTGGATGCTTGCGTGCTTAAGCTCAATTTCAAATCGAAGACTCTCATTAGACCCATCATCCCAAAACCATCATTACCGTTTCAAATTTTTGATTATATGAAAGTGATTATTGCATTCCACAATCTTTCTGTCGACTTCTATGTACAAAACCAATCTGGATGAGAGAATTGTCTCGTTTCCCTTAGGTTCGATGATTCTCGATAACAAATTAACAATTCTGATAAACCTAAGACTTAAAACCCTGAATCCCAACCTTGTACCCTGAATCACGAAATCGCATTCCTATGATAACGAAGCCACACACAACACCAACATAAAACTTATAAACAATTCGATGACAGTTTAATCCACCCAACAAACCCGGGGAAAAAAAGATGGGTAAAGTTCTCTCTAACTCATAGGCAGTATATTAACAAGTGAGCAAGACAAAGTTTCAAAGAGAGAAAAAAAACGAAAAACCAACCTTTGAATGGATTTACAGACGACACTGTCTAGGAAGGGAAGAAAGAAAACGGATATGGATTTGTATAACACAATACAAGCATCGAATTAATTCTTGTGTGCTTTGTTCTAATACGGACCAGACCCAATAGTTAAAGTCACAAACAATGTTTTTGTATAGAAAAATGACAAAAAATACGTAATATGATATCAATTATATTGGTCGACAAAATTTTTAAGGTTTTTTCCCGTAATTAAACTATACTGTAATTATTAAAAAGATAAAATTTGTTCAAACCTTCTCTAAATGCGTTCACTTGGTTTAATTTATTTTATTAATTGAAAATATTTAAAAATATTTAAACTCAATACAATGATTTTGTTTATTTGAAAATATTTAAACTCGATGACTTACTTGAACTCTGAGTTCGAAGAATCACCCGCCTAGACAAGTTCGAAGAATCACCCGCCTAGACAATTAATCGGCCAATTAGTCGCGGATCCGAGGTAAACTAGATAGTCAGCTTTGGCGGATAACCAATTTTTTCCGCCTAATACCGAATTTTTAAATCGGTGACTTTTTATAAATCAGATAACTATTAATATTGTAAAGGCCCACTAATTGGCCCAGCAGAATATGCTACAGGCCCACGATTTTAATGAACATAAATTAGTATTATAGAACTTGAAGACTCTTACTTTATAGTGCAGCTTCCCCTTCTCACTTATCCAAATTTGTCGATGTGGGACAACTCAAAAGACCTACTTTTTAAAAAATGTCATGAATATTTATGGTCTTGAGTTAAATATTGGTCATCAACACTTAGAATACAACAGACCTCACCAACAATTGTTAGCGGCATTCCAGTTGGAAGAACACACTAGATGCGCTTTACTCCAAGCATCTGAAACAAAACGATTGGCTGCTTAGGCAAATAAATAGACCAACAAATAAAGAACCAGAAAGAAAAGCGAAAACCTTGAGACCTTGGAGATAATCAAGTGTACCTCGTACAAGCGAATGCCCTGACTCTTCAAATACTTCACTTCCAACAGACAAAGCAAATCCCGTTGCATCACGAGCTCCCGCCACATGGACACAACTTGTCCCATCGTCCTTTATAGTGCAGCTTCCCCTTCTCACTTATCCAAATTTGTCGATGTGGGACAACTCAAAAGACCTACTTTTTAAAAAATGTCATGAATATTTATGGTCTTGAGTTAAATATTGGTCATCAACACTTAGAATACAACAGACCTCACCAACAATTGTTAGCGGCATTCCAGTTGGAAGAACACACTAGATGCGCTTTACTCCAAGCATCTGAAACAAAACGATTGGCTGCTTAGGCAAATAGATAGGCCAACAAATAAAGAACCAGAAAGAAAAGCGAAAACCTTGAGACCTTGGAGATAATCAAGTGTACCTCGTACAAGCGAATGCCCTGACTCTTCAAATACTTCACTTCCAACAGACAAAGCAAATCCCGTTGCATCACGAGCTCCCGCCACATGGACACAACTTGTCCCATCGTCCTATTTGCAAATACAAGTTTTGGAATTTTACGAAATGGTTTTAAAAAACATCCAATCACAGCTGCAAAACAGATATAATTGACTTACCAGAAACCAAGAAACCTCCTTACTCATTGAAAGCATCAATGCACTATCTTGTACCCAAGAACCCGTCTCATTGTGTTTCAGAAAATGGTGTTCCGCCTGAAAATGACCATGTAACTGATGAAAAAACGCAAAAACAGACTAGGCCACTGTGAATATAGTAATGAACACAATTGTGAATATACTAATGAACACAATTTTGATCCAGTTTAACAACAAGTGCTGGATTCGCAATAGACTAGTAACGTTTATAATATAGTGTTACCAAATTATTTTTTCTCTCGTTCAAAGTATCTGTATGATCCAGTTTAACAACAACAAGTGCTCGATTAATTACTCATTTGAAGTTTCCCTTCCCATAAGTCAACGAGTTTTGCATTGATACACAAACGGATATTTTTTACTATAATTTTGTTTTTATATATCAGATTTATCTTGACTTCAGCTTCTCTTCCATCTCTCTTGTTTCTCATGGCTTCATATATATATGGCTTATTCTATGTCCTAACACAGCTGTGATATTAATCATTCTTTTCCTTTAAAAAAAAATTCTTTTAAAGACCACACCACTAAAGAACTACAAATATATGGTTGTCGTTTTGTGTAAAATAGCTTAAACTTAAAGTCTTGTAGTACAGAACAAATAAACCTTTATTATTTTACTTGAAGTTTCCCTTCCCATAAGTCAACGCTTTTTGCATTAATACACGGAAGGATCTTTTTTACTATAAATTTGCTTTTATATATCAGGTTTATCTTAACTTCAGCTTCTCTTCAGCCTCTTCCATCTCTCTTTTTTCTTATGGCTTCTCTTTCTTCTTCATTGCCGTGTCGCAACTGGAGTTACAACGTATTTGTGAGCTTCCACGGACCTGATGTCCGTAAAACACTTCTCAGTCATATGCGCGAACAGTTTAAACGGAACGGGATCACTATGTTTGATGATCAAAAGATTGTGAGAAGCGCAACGATAGCTCCTTCACTCACAGATGGAATAAGAGAATCGAGGATCTCGATAGTGATTCTTTCCAAGAGATATGCTTCTTCAAGCTGGTGTTTGGACGAATTGGTGGAGATATTGAGGTGCAAGGAAGTTATGGGACAGATAGTGATGACCATTTTTTATGGAGCGGATCCATCTCAAGTTAGGAAACAGACCGGAGAATTTGGGATGGTTTTCGATGAAACTTGTTCAAGTAAGACGGGAGAGGAAAGGCAGAAATGGAAAGAAGCTTTGAAGGATGTCGGCAACATTGCTGGAGAAGACTTCCTAACATGGTTTGTCTTTAATTCATCTGAGTTTTTGTTTCTTAGGTTATATTAAATGGTAAGAGCATCATGGTTACTTCTATATAATATATTCTAAAAAATAGAGAAATAATTTACTGGAATTGTTGTCTTTATGTTTGACTATAAATCTTACTATTAATTGCTAACAAGATCTTTTATTTTTAAAATTTTTTAAAAATTTCTATGTGTTTTTTTTAACAATAATTCAACATAATATTTATTTAAATTTTTATTTATGATATTTTTGTTGTAATTTTTTTTTTTTGACATCAATATTTTTGTTGTATTTTAAAATTTTAAATGATTATACAACTAATTATCATTAATAAGTTTAATTAATATTATATGGTATCTTATTGTTTAAGTTTCAAATAATAAATACGAAAGTTTGAAGATTGTTTTGTAAATAAAAAAAAATTATACTCTATAAATAGAGAAATGAACAATATATATTTATACTGTTCATTTTTTTATTTAAAGAGTAAGATATAAAGTACCAATGCAGATAATTTTATTCTAAAAATAAAGTTCAGAGGTAGAAATTTAGTACCATTGCATATGCTTTAACCACGAGAGAAAAAAAAAACACAGTGAAGGGTGTTTTCTCATTTCTGATGAATAGGAAGGATTTTACGGTAATTGGAATTTAAGGGATTATAGGGAATGTTTTTGTTGATTAAACAGAGGAATATTTTAAGAACTGTGACTATTTTGATTAAAACGGTACCTTGTTTTTTCTTTCTTATTTCTCTTTTGTTAGGGACAATGAAGCAAACATGATTGAGAAGATTGCCAGAGATGTTTCAAATAAACTGAATGCTACACTGTCTAGGGATTTTGATGGCATGGTGGGACTTGAACCTCATTTGAGAGAGTTGGAGTCTTTGCTAGATTTAGATAATAATGGAGTAGTTATGATGGTTGCCATCACTGGTCCTGCAGGGATTGGTAAAACTACCATTGCCAGAGCTTTACAAAACCGACTCTCTAATAGGTTTCAGCTTACTTGTTTTATGGACAACCTTAAGGGAAGTTATTTAAGTGGTCCTGATGTATTGCGCTTACAAGCACAATTTCTTTCAAAGGTTTTGAACCAGGATGATATTAGGATATGCCATTCAGGTGTGATAGAAGAAAGGCTTTGCAAGCAGAGAGTGTTCATCATTCTTGACGATGTAAGCAATATAAAGCAATTAGAGGCATTGGCGAATGAAACTACATGGTTTGGTCCTGGAAGCAGAATTGTAGTAACCACCGAAAACAAAGAGCTTTTGCAGCAACATGGTATCAACACTACGTACTATGTGGGGTTTCCATCTTTTAAAGATGCTGTCAATATCTTATGTAGATATGCTTTTAGAAAAAACCCTCCTTATCATGGTTTTGAAATGCTTGCATTAAGAGTAACAGAGCTTTGTGGTAAGCTTCCGTTGGGTCTCTCTGTCGTGGGTTCATCTTTACGTGGGAAGAATGAGGACGAATGGGAAAAGGTACTGAGGAAGCTGGAAACTATACTTAATCGAGGTATTGAGGACGTGCTAAGAGTCGGCTATGAAAATTTAGATGAAGATGAGCAAACGCTATTTCTCCACATTGCAGTCTTCTTCAACTATAGAAACTGTGATCTCGTGAAGACAATGTTCGATAACAGTGACTTGGATGTCCAAGAAGGGTTGAAAATCCTTGAAAGAAGATCTCTCATAGAGATACATGGGGAAAGAATAGAGATGCACATATTACTACGACAGATGGGTAAAAAAGCCATTCATGAACAAGAGCCTAGGAAACGCGGGATCTTAATGGATGCTCAGGAGATTTGTGAAGTTCTTGAACATGCCAACGTTAGTTCTTTCTCTTTTATTTTTTATAACTTTGTTCATTAATTTATACCTAAACTAGCTAGGCATTTAGTGAAGATAAGCAATGCATGACTATCGTGCTAACAATGTCTTTTTATTTGGAGTATTTTTATTTTTTTTTTGTTTAGGGTACAAGAGCTGTTTCCGGCATATCATTTGATATATCTGATCTCGATGACGTATCTATAAGTGAGAGAGCTTTCAAAAAGATGCCTAATCTTCGCTTCCTCAGAGTTTACAAAAGTAAAGAGGATGGGAATGATGTAGTGCATATACCTGAGGAGATGGAGTTTCCGCGTGGTCTAAGGCTGCTACATTGGGAGGCATACCCAAGTAAATGTCTTCCTCCTACATTTCATCTTGAATATCTTGTGGAGCTCAATATGAAGAATAGCAAGCTCGAGTACCTCTGGCAAGGAACACAGGTTAGTTGGTATTGAACTTTAGATATACTTTCATCTTCATATTATATAAATGATGTTCTTTCTCTCTCTCTCTCTCTCTCATTTTGTGGTTTTCTTGCATATTCAGCCGCTTACAAATCTCAAGAAGATGGGTTTGTCAGGATCTTTGCAATTGAAGGAACTTCCTGATCTTTCAAATGCTACAGCTCTTGAGACGTTGGATCTGATGGGTTGTGAGAGTTTGGTAGAGATTCCATCCTCGTGTTCACATCTTCATAAACTACAGAAGTTGTGGGTGACCGGATGCGTAAAGCTACAAGTCCTTCCAGCTCACATGAACTTGGCATCACTCGAAGAAGTCTTCATGAGAGGATGCTCAAGACTGAGAAACATCCCAGTCATGTCAACGAACATCAGAAAACTGTGTATATCGGAGACAGCGGTTGAAGACGTGCCTACATCGACCAGACTTTGGTCTCGTCTTAAGTCTCTCAGTATAAATAAAAGCGGAAAGCTCAAGGGATTAACACATCTCCCAAAGAGTGTCACAGATCTTGACCTAAGTTACTCTGATATAGAAAAGATTTCTGATAGCATCAAATCTCTTCATCAGCTACGAGACCTTAATCTAACTGGCTGCAGAAGACTTGCGTCATTGCCAAGGCTCCCTGGTTCGCTCAAAACCCTAGTGGCAGAAGATTGTGAGTCACTCAACACCGTATTTAGCCCTTTGAACACTCCAAATGCGCGCGTAAATTTCATCAACTGCTTCAAATTAAGTCAAGAAGCAACAAGGACAATCACTCAACCATCTTTCTATCTAGGAGCGGCACTTTTACCAGGAAAAGAAGTGCCTGCAGAGTTCGATCACCGAGGCAGAGGAAATTCCTTGACCATTCGTCCAGACGGTAACCCTTACAGCGGTTTCGTGGTTTGCGTCGTGATTTCCCCTAAGCAGCGACAGTTTAGTTATTCCCAACTATTGTGTCGTCGGATAGGCGTAGCTCAAGACGATTTCTATCCAGTTGAAATGTTGGTCTACGTAGGCGAAGTCCACAAGTTTCGAACGGAACATCTATTTGTATTCGACTCTCGCTTCATAGAATTCTACCCATCTGATATGAGCAGAGAGATAGTGCTCGAACTGAGCAGCAACTCCCACGACTTCGACATTATTGACTGTGGTGCCAGGATCTTGACGAACGAGAAGGGGACCTATGAATCTGGCTTGGAACAAGTGTTGGAAGAAGACATTGAGCTTGAAACTAGCGAAGCCTTTGAAGAAGACACCGAACACGGTGAACCAACGAATGGATTAATCTTTGAGTTCAAAGAAGAGGAGAAACGCACAGATTGTTGGAGTTGGCTCTTCTATTTTTTGAGATTGGTTTCGGGCTAGGTTACATGTTATTTTGCATTTCATATTTTTCAAGTGAGATTGTACACAAGTTAGCTGACAGCGACTGAGCGACAATATCAATTGTGAAAATTAAAATTTCTCTCATTCAGAGTATCTGCCTGATCCGGTTTAACAGCAAGTGCTATGAAATGTTCATAATAAAAAACAACAGTAAGTGCTCGATAATTCAATTTATTTTAGGGTGATTTGCATAAATAATATCTTTTACACTGACAATTAGGTGAATATCATATAAGAACAGTCAATTAGGTAAATAATAATAGTCAACCCTTGATTCCTTATCCAAAACAATGTTTTTTCCTGACATGAAAAAGACATCTACTTTTTGTTAAGTTGAAGACGCTACCATCAACTTTAGAACGATAACAGTGGCTACTTTTAAGCATCGATTGAAGTGTATATGATTATGATTAAAATATAGTCCAAGAGAAAAAAAAAACTAAGAAAAAAAGCTGGAGGATTGTCTATGAATGAGAAAAAGCTGGAAGATCGTCTATTACTGGGTTCAATATCTCTTACAGTAGTCGATTATGGTGAAAATATAGTTAACTACATACTGAATTGAGTATTGTAATATATATGTAAAATATGCAAATATAGTGTATTACAATAAGAAATTCTGGATTACAGGTCTTACATAAATAGACGACTATAAAAAAATTGATTACATACCTGTTTTTAAGCGACTTCATAATTGGGATTAGAGAGGCCAACATTCACATCGGTAACCTGAATGATCAAAAGAAATGGAAGACATAGTCGAATACATATATCAATTAGATAGACAACTATTACTAGATGGATATAAACTATAAAATAGATAACATAGTCGAGTACATGTATCAACTACATAGACAACTATTAATAGCTAAATATGAACCTGTATTTTATGAATCTCAGAATTCGGGTCTGGGATGTCTGTATTTTCGAGGGTGGGCTAAACAGTAACACAAGATAAGTAAAAATAATCGATTATAAAATGTGTACTATAATAATAGACACTCGATTACATGTCTTACATAAATAGACGATTATTAAAAGTCGATTACATACCTGTTCTTTAGCTACTTCATAATTGGGATTGGAGAGGCCAACATTCACATATGTAACCTCAACGATCAAAAGAATAAGAGACATAGTCGAATACATATATCAATTAGATAAACGACTATTAATAATCGATATCAATTATATCAATTCTCGGATATCTGCATTTTCGAGGGTGGGCTAAACAGTAACACAAGATAAGGGAAAATAATCAATTAACAAATAGACTGCTACTAATAGGTGAATACGAACTTGATCTTTAGCGAGCTCGACATTCAGATCTGGGAGGTCTGAAATCTCCTCGGTGGCTTGAACATTAACACTTTACTCATGAAATAAATTGATTATATAGTAGATGTCTACTAGTAGATGGTTATGAACCTTGACCTTTCCAGACTCCGAATTCGGTTCTGGGGTCTGCAATATACTCGGTAACATGTAAAGTAATCTGACATGAATAAAAATATAAGATTACGACATATTGGATTTCAATTATATGAATACGAACTTGATCAAAGGAGAAACCGCTATGTTACAGTTTCTGAAGGAGGCTAGTGTGAACAGTAGAATAGGGGGTATTTCTGATTTTCTGAGTAAGGGTATATATGAATAGTAATTACAAGTAGTCAGTTACACAAAATGCCGACTACAATTGAAAGTTAAATTGAAACATAATCCATAGATAAATAGTTGGCTACAAATTCAAAAACGAATGTTCATAATAGTAGTTGACTGCAAAACATGTAAAAGGTTCATAATTATAATGGAAAATATAGACATCCACCAATAGGTAGTCTACTAAAACAAGAGACAACAACTAAATTTGAAAGAACTGGTTTAACATGCTTTTTTCAGATAACAACCAAAAGAAATAGGATCGTCCGCAGATTCTTTTCCTAGCCTTACAAAGACATCAAGCAGTAGATCCCGAATCTGGAGAAGCACATTATTTGCCGAGATGTTGAGATGTTCAGAAGTGGATGTGTCTTTTGTTATTGGAAAGTTGTCCATTCTGAAAAATAAATATAAAGTAGACAACTATTAGTAGAAGGTTGTTCATTCTGATAAATAAATAGAAAGTAGACAACTATTAGTAGACAATAAATAACATAGGATTTGCTTTTTGGTTTCGCTATTGTAGTTGATTAGCAATGTTAACATAAAATGGATGGATATGACAGTTTGCATCACTAATCTGAGGAAGCACATTATTTGCAAACGGTGTGGGTTCAGATTGTCGAAGAGTACACATATCCCTTGAAACGAACGAAAGTCAAATAGTTAGCTATTGTAAACTGACTACCAATGTGACGTAAATAACTATTGTTATTCATATGAGTAGTTGACTATTCCTGTCTAGTAGTTATGTAGACTAACTAAATATGTAGCTTTACATTGAATCGGTTATAGACGTTGCGAGTAGACGATTACTAGCGATGATGTATATAGTTAACTACCGAAAGAAAAATTTAAAAATCCTAGATCTATAAAATCAAGAAACCCAGATGTGGATAACAGCAAAGATAGCCACCGTACTGAAGAAATACAGAGAAAAATTTGCAAAAATAGTAGAAAATAAAAATCAGCAGAACAGAACCAGGTATCAAAGAGATATGTTTCACAACTCCCCACTGAAGAAAGAATCAGCTGTGTTACAGATTTTTCACCATGGTTTGAAGCTGATGAACCGGCAATAATGAGGGATGGTAGAGCCTCGCCGTAGAGAAAGAGAGGAGCAAGAAGAAACACGAACGAGTAGTCACCGTAGAAAAGGAAAGGAGAGAATTTTTGGATGTGGGAGAAATTATTTGAAATAAAAATAAAAAAGTGAAAAACGCCTCTTTTGAATCTTTGACGGAAGAAGGAGGATATAAAAAGGGGATATAAAGAGAGGATCTAGAAATGAAGAACAGGGTTTCAAATTTTAAAATCCTGAATATGAAAACAAGACGTAAATTATTATTTTTAAAAAAAAATCAATGAAACAAAAAGATAAATTGTGTCAGACCAAAAAGTTTGTATTGCTATGATACAGTTTTTATGTCATAAGGTTGGAAAGCTGAGGGTGTGTAGTGTCTTTGCACAAGGGTAAAAAAATTACTTTTCATTCTTGCAAATTGTTCTCTGTAAACTAATATTCATTACAATTTCCCTTTATTTTATTTTAATTTCGTTTACTTTTCGTCTTTTCGGAGCTTGAAGGAATGAAAAGGCGAAGAGGCTTATGAATTTATGATCTCTTTCTCTAGTCAACGGTTAATGGCTGATCTTACCACAGCCAGTGGCGGAGCCACTTACAAGTTATTGGGGTCATTGGTCCCCAGTGGATTTTTAAAAATTAGAACAACTTATTAAAGCCCAGTTTTAATGCCCCCATTGATTAAATTATATATGCCCCCATTCTCTTATTTATTAAACCCAGACTAATAAAATTGGATTTTTAAGCCCTTAAGCCCAATAAACAAACAAACACAAGCTTGAAGCTACTAATAGAAACAAAAAAACGTGATTGATAAAAAAAAGGAAGAATCTCACATCGACATCTAGTGAAACAAATTCTAAAAAAGGCTGCATATATATAGTTTATTTTATTTTAGCAACATCAGTAATTTTTTTGGGCTTAAAAGTTAAAACATAAAAGCCTACGTTTAAAGAGCTTCCGCTAAATCAAACGGAACTCGGGTAGATTAAACATTGCTTTGGTTTGATTTGGCCCACCGATTTAATTATCGGTTCACAGAGTTTTAATTGGTTTTTTTTGGATTTTTAAAGTTTTTAAAAATCCGATCTTAGTAGCTAATTTAGATCGGATTGTTAGCTGGTTTTTAATTAAACCGATTTAACCAACCGATCTAATCTGAGTTTTAAACATCACTGCAAAAATAGCATACTATGAATCAATTAGTAAGTCTTATATATTTGTTTAATTATTTATTTTAGTTAATTTTTTAACTTAATTTAAATTAGTAACACAATTGTTTTTTTTTCTCAGTTGATGGAAAAGTTTTTGAAAAGAAAATCCGCCTCAACATCTGAGACTGAGAGTAATTTGGATGATTTGCCATGGGATCCTGCTAAACAGAAAAAGATTTTGGAATATCATCCAAATAAAAGAGATGAGGTAAGACGCAAGTATCTTGAGAGAGGTCCTTGT